GGATCCATCATTTTTGTCACGTTTGATCTTCTTGACAAGTCTTCAACAACTCTCTGCTTTAGCTGCTCAATCTGTTGATGGAAAATAGTATCTACTTCAGCCAATTCAGAGAGACATCTACTTGGATCTACTTGAAAGAAGTGCTGTGTATATGTTTTGTATTAATAGACACATTTTAATATTTCAGAGGTCTGATCAATCCCAGAAAGGATACAGATGTAGATCACTGACTAGAAGGCTCTTACCTGGCTTGGTCGGAGGAAGCTGACGTTAATATTGGGATATCTGGTGACAGGGTCTATGCTGTATTGACTGAAGTTTTTACTCACATTCTCAGGGGTGGTCTGAGGCAGCAATCTATAAATGCTTTCTCTGCAATAACATATAGCAAGGTACTCAGAACAGTGACAAGTACCATGAACATCTCTTTCTCCTTTGAGAATATTTCTATTTTTTGACAGTCCCCAAATTATCTGAAGGATATGACAAATCCTCATCCTTGACGAGTTTCCTCCAGTCCCACATCAGTTCTTGTTTCCCATTCTTACCAGCTCAATGATTCTACAGACACTGGCCTGGTTAAGGGCCAACAAGAACAGCAGGTACATTGCTATGGGCAGGGATAAAAAGCCTGATGCTAATTTAAAAGGCAACTAATTTACTGTTCTGTTTTGTTTTTTAAAGTATGCTAATATTTACTTTTTAAGAGAATTGCAAATGAAAAAAGAACTTCCCACCACATTTATCCAGGGTACCTTAAGTAACACACTTAAAAGGATATCAACCAACAATTTTATCCAGGAAATCCTGTTTATCTAGTTTTTCTGGTCAAGGCATTTGGTCTTTTTCATTAGTATAAGTCTTTCTAGTTTAAGGACAATGTATTGTTTTTATGCACTTGTTTCTGTGCCGGTCATAAAGGAATCAGATACCATCCATCAGCAATAAATTTAATTGGAAAGGGATAAAAAAAAGCACTTAAGAGTAGATAATCTAAGTTTCTATGATATCTTGAATAAATATCTTGACTTTCCTCTCTTAAGTATGAAAACATCTTTAATTAAGAAATGGAGAGAGAGAAAAAAAGAACCTATGCTCTGCCTGAAGAGCAAACCACTCGTCACAGAAAGGACCCCCGGCTACTTCCCATTACCTCTCTGCCAGGACTTCCAAGGGGCTTGTTCCTAGAGACCAACTTCGTACCATCCAGGCAGAGTCCATAGCAGCTAGAAAGCCCCGGGCAATTCCTGTTCCCATTGGCCAAAAAGGCTATCGAGGAGATATAAAACAAAGAATTAAAACAAATTATCTTTTAAAAGAGGAAAACTATACTAAAGAACTAAGAAAGTATTTGCTGTTGAAAGTTTTTGGCAACTGTTCAGATACTGGACTTCTCTGCTTCACAAACTGGTAGAGGGGAAAGTCACAAAAGCTACTGCACTTTCATCCTTAACTTAGCAAGTCTGGGATCCCCATGGCCTGTAATCATTTCCTACTTCCTGATATAACGCCTATAGGAAGTTCACCTATGCTGTACAACGTTGTAAGACACTCACTCCACAACTCGGGTGCCCAGATTTGTTCCCAATTACTATTAAGTGCTGCCATCCTTAACACTCACCTCTAGGAGGCTGTCCCCAACAAGAGCCACTAGTAACTGGTGTCCATTCTGCTCTCGCACCAAGGCGGCATTCTCGGAGGCGTACATACAAGTGAAGTCAAACATGGCCACGTCAGGTTGCCCATAATGATTGATGGCAAAATCCAGAGATGGCAGTTGCTGTTGGGTGGAGAAGTCTGCTGCCTCCCTGGCATAGTTCAGCAGAGCCTCTTGATCCACATTCTCCCGGGAAAGCAAGAGCTCTGTGTCAGCGTAGTCCTATCTCCAGAAAGGGAAGAGGCTCGATGAAAAAGCCCAGGTACAAGCCTAGCCAGCCAGAGCCACAGTACACAGAGCAGACATAACCAAGTTTTTCATGGCCTTTCCCTTCCCCTTAAATTGATTTCATTTTCTAAAATAACTCTTTTACACAAATTAAAAAAAAAGGGGGGAGGCTATTTTGAAAAGAACACAGGCTTTGCTGCCTAAAAATAGTTCTGGCTTTCCCATTTACATGGAGCGAGTCACTACTTCTTTGATCCGGTCCAATCTACCTCACAGAGTTGCTCTGAATAGTAAGTTAAATAATTTATGGGATAGTAGATGGTAAACTAAAAAAAAGCATTTTATAGTTTATGTTATTATCAGCAATCATTATCTTTTGGATAGCAAATAACTTTTAGAGACCTTATGAAACACTCGGACTTGCATAACTCAACAAACCCAAAGGAAGAACCCAAAGCTTCAGTGCCAAAAAGATGTGGAGATGGGAGCAACAGTAGCCTAGGAGACTGGGAAGAAATATATCAAAAATGGAACAGAAGTTTTAAAAATAGTAAGATTCTGAAAGCCTCTATAGAACCCCATAAATGAAAAAATAATGAGAGAAAACGGGCCTTTCATATAAAAGAGTGAAGAACTTGATTTTTTTGTTTTAGAGGTTCCTGGCATAATAGCCAAGACTTTATCCTTCTAAAGTGGGGCTTATGGTTTCCAAGTGTCCCTGATCGTACTTTCAGCTACCACTACAAGATGTTAAAAGATAGAATACAAATACTCAAGTTGGTCCTCAAAACAGTGTTTGCTCAACATTAAGTGGCCATAATGGATTTAGTATTTAGCAACACACATGAAAGGCATGGCCCTTGCCCTCTGAAAAAAAAAATAAATAAAAAGGAAAAGTAAATCTTGGCATTTCAGACTGTTCCTACATATTTTCAACTGATAACCATAGTCCTACCTAAGATGGTAGTCTTAACTCAGTCCCAAGGCATACCAACAGGCTCACTGGCTATTTCTTTTTGATAAAGCATCCAACCAAACACATCTTGCTTATGCTCTTGGCAGAAAGGGCTATACACACACTGCTGGGTCTTGTTTCTTCTTATAGACATAAAGGGCCACAAGGTTGAGAAACAAATACAAGGTAATGGGTGGAAAGGAGATTGTGCTGCAGATACATGCTCATCAGCGTGCCCCCAGTACTGCTCTCAGATAAAGCTACAGTGGATGCAATTCAGACTAAAGTGACTGGACTCATTATCATCCTGCAGAGACAAAGGATGTCCTGAAATTCAGCTATGAGTCTGGTGGGAACTGTGCAGGCCTGAATCAGCACATCTGGTGCCTCTTCTCTCCCTCTTACCTTGTGGGGACAGTAATTCTTGAGACCAAACGAGATTTAAGAAATTCTCCTTAAGGAACCCTCCCCTTAAGGAACCCTCTACCCTCTAGTTTTCTGATTTCATATTCAGATCATCATCTCGGAGAACATCATACAATTAGTCACCTAGAAAAAAAGGCTGAGCTGGACCTGGCTAAGGATGGACAAGAAGCCCTATTTGTTAGTTTATTCAGAGGTCTAAATACACACACCTCTGACAGGAACATCTTCAATAAAACCAGAACCATTCTCAGGCTCTCATAAATACCAATTATTGCTTCTTGGTTAAACTCCCTTCCATCTAGGACCCCCTTCCAAAAGATGGCCTATTAATCAACCAATAATCAGTCATGTATGGAATTCTCTAGAACCACAAACCAAATAATCTAAAATTAAACTTATTTATTCATGAAATAATATCTGAGATTTGCTTTGGAATAATCCAATGACAGGAGTGAGAAATGGGTTGAGTACCAGTGAAACGATATTGTCCATGTGTTGATAATTGTTAAAAGCTAGATAATGGTCACATGGGGATTCATTATACAATTCTCTCTACTTTTGTTCATATTTTAAAATTTCCATAATAATTTTTTTTAAGTTTAACTAAAAAACATTAGAGTACAGGTTACCAGGAGATGAGTTAGGGGTTCATTTTTATTCCCTTGCAGATAAAACTCATCAGACAATAAAATTCTTTCTCTTGGTGATCATACTAACCATTAAAACATAAAAAGAGGTTTGAAAGAAGTCCATCACTCACATGCAGTATCACCCCTTTGTCCAGCAGGCTCTGCTTTTTGGCTGTCATAACAAAATAGTGTGTGTCATCTTTGTAGTAGACGATGTTCTCCAAATCAATACCTGCAACCAGAAAACAAAAGTGTGCTTATAAGGGTTTACTGAGATGAAGATACATTAGGGAAGCCAGAAAGATTGTGTGTGGGTCCACAGAGACCAAGGTCGGAAAATTCTAGGCAGGGAAAAAGAGAATATAAAAGATATCCGACCCCAGATTCTTACTTCCTATGCATTCAGTTCATAAAAAGAGGGGAACTTTGTTTTTCCTTAAGCTGCTCTATAATTCACTTGACACTCTAAGTTATCCTACGAACAATGATCAGTAGTAAGCAGAAATATAAGGACAGGAAGAAATAGAAAGATTAACCTCTAGTAAGGCGGTCTGGGTTAGTTACCAGGTTAAGCTTCTTTTATAGTCATCAAGGTAACTGGAGGACTCTCCTAGAACAGAACAGACAACTGGATGCCTGGAAGCAGAGAGTGAACTATTGACTCTTTAATTCAATTAATCTAAAAAAAATAGAGAATTGGAATTTGTTACATCAAACATCTAAGTTAATCTATTCAAAAGCTATCATCTAACAGTCTCATTCCTATCTAGCACATGGTTTACCTCAAGACCAAACTGGAAATAATGAAGAAGACCACACACTCAATGCCTGAAGTCAGGTTCTCAATAAACCAGAGAACTACCAACCAACAGCTTACTACATCAAGCGCCCTCACTTAGAGCTATAGCATAGAGGAAAGGGTTTGAGAAGGCAGAATGAACACTTAAAAACAACCAGATAAATACAAACTGAACCCAGAGTAGCCCAGTCCCTGCGACGAGGATAAAGAACTCTAGAGAGTTGGAGACAGTGATATGGAAAGCACTACACTCAGAACAAAGCATGGCAGTGAAAAAAGAGCAGAGGGGTAAATAATGCAGCAGTAACATCAATGACCACCTACCATCCCACCAAACCATCCAAGAGAAAAATCACAAGTGGTTATTTAAATTTCTATCCTTATTGCTTTCAAGGCATCGACACCAACCTGTGGCTTCTCTAAGCTCCTGGAAAAATTTTTGGTTGAATATAAAAGCCACGCCACTGATCTCTTCCACTTTGGCTTCTGCTGTTGTATTTCGGTTAATAAAATTTGCTGTAATGGCAATGGCCAGTTTGCCACGAAATTCTTTCCGACGAAATCCTGGAGGGAACAAGTTTTTCAGAGGTGGCTACAGCTCGCTAGAGAGGAAGACAGATCATTTCAAACAGGAGGGGGTGTTGATGACATTAGGGAATGTAGGGGATAGGAATCAATGGGAAAATTTTAGGGCATCTCTTCTCTATCCGAAAATAAGGTGTTTACCTAACAAAGAATATAACAATTCAGGAAAGAAGTTAAAGTCTCCCACGCACTAACAAACGATTTGAAATCTGACTGACCAGAATATTACTCAGTACTAGGGATTCTATTAAAAAAAAGGGAATCTATCTGTTTATTAAACTTAGGTTTAATCCTGCCGTACCAACTCATCGAAGTACAGCTTGTCTCTGAGTACCCTAACAAGAGTGCCCTGTAAGAAGTAACTCAAGTACCAGTTGGCTAGGGGAAGTCTGGGACCTACCATTCAATTAGAGTAGGTGACACACATATGCAGATTCTTAGGAATGTGGTCTCTGATGACATAAACTCTCACCCAGGTTCACTCTGCTATAAACCAGGCAAAGAGCCTTGACCAATACCTTCTAAGGTGTTCCTACGGCCATCTCCTCCAATGATCACTTCAAATTCATATTCTGATACAGGATGTGTTTTGGGGTGCACCAGTGCCCGCCAACCTATCCCTGTGGATCAAAGTCAAAATGAAGATCATCACCCATATCACCGTCATACATCTACGACATCTCTAGATACTCAGGTAAACAGCCTCCAAGCCAAAAATACTACATTTAAAAGCATGGGGAACAAACCACAGAAAGAAAGAGGCTTTGACAAAGGCTCACAAAGAAACGTTCCCACCATATGATTTTCTGTAATGAATACAAGTGCCTGAAATGTCTACTACTATGTCAAAGGCTCCCTCATTGAGTCAAACATTTCTCAAAAGATACCGGCTGTACAAATAGAGAAAGCCCTTTTAACTAGTTCTAAAAACAACCTGTAGACTCATACTTTTCTGCCTTGATTTCATCTTTTATCAACCATTCAATGCCCTTTTATCCCTCCTTCCTTTGTCCAATCCAACTCACGTTCATTTTCTTGGTCCTCAGGAGGGTGTACAAGTCCTTGGAATTCCACATTGACATGGATTTCAATGCCTAGGATCAAGGCTACTTTCAAAAGTATTAATTGAAGCTGACGGATACCTGGGTGAACAAAAAGATTACACTAGTGAGGGGACACTAAAGAGAGTACCAGTCAGTGGTCACTGCTCAGGTTCCCATCTGTCCATCTACACCAAGTTTATTCAGATTCTCAAAGCTCCTGTAACAGGAGACATTTTCCAAGCCTTGTTCCACAGCTCTTTCTTTATAGAGAGCAAGAAATAATCTAGAGAAACCCACAAAGCCACTCCTACATCTTGGGTGAGGTGTTCAAAACAACCAAAAGCTCTGAGACAACATGAGATTGTGGCCGACAAGATTCGGTCAGAGCCATAACTATATAGCAGAATCTACAATCTTTATAGGGCATGCTAATTACCAGAGGAGGCAGAAGATATGCACCCATGGGTATGCTTTCCAGTTCGATCCAAAGGGGGCTGCACCACTTCCTCAGATTCCCACTGCATCTCTCCTTCATCTTATTACCTCACTGATCGTCACACATTCTTCTGAAGTGGGAAGGGGAAACCTCAATGCAAGCTTAGTAGCCTCTTACCATTCCCGCCTCCCACCACTGGTCTACAACTGTAGAAACTAAGACTCGAAATGACTGAAAATCTTGCTCATTATCACAGTGAAGTTTATTTATTTATTTACTGTTCCCCATTAGTACCTACTAGGTGCCAGACATGGAAGCGGTCCCAGGTATACTGAGTTAAAACTCTAGTCCCTGATGTAGGACTGCCTTAGCTCCAAGACAAATTCTGCCACACATAAGGCAGACAAATCCACTGAATTAATGACTCTTGGTCCTCTCTTAAGACCAATCTTACCTACAGCCTGTGACTAATCTGCTAGGAATACATGCAAATCCTCCTCTAAGTCATTCAGTTATTTTTCCCAGCTTACCACAACCCGCACCCTTCTGAGTCACATGTGCAGACTCATTAAATCCCATGCTAGCACATATTTTTTATTTGCAGACAACTGGGTTCCAAGATGCTTTATACAATACAGTCCAACAGATGGGCAGGGTACAACTCCTCTGCCAGTGGAATGTGGCAGCTGTGCTCAGTGTTCAGTAAACTGGCACGGCCACTTCAAATAGCAAAAAGTTCAGTAGTTAAATGTATTTACAGAGCACATCTAGAGGAGCTCAGAACTAAAGTTCCCTGATTAGCTTCCCTGGAATCATTAATGATGATCAATAAACAAGAATTCAACTTCATAATGTAGACACTGTTTTCCTGAACATACACAGTCATGAAACAAAATCACTGCATTGACTTGTATTTACTCTACTGGATCTCAGAAAAGCATAGGCCCAAGCTGAGCTTGGAGATGACAAGAGTATAGCAAGAGCTTCCTAAGCTGTAGACCTTGTGCGAATCACCTAATCAAAGGGAATGCATTATCGACTTGCCAGTCAGAGAACAAGGAGTCTGCTTCTGTAACTGTGGTTTCCCTAGAATTATGTCCCCACATTTTGTTTTTATGTTAGTAGAGCATCTTTCATATCACATCACAAAGAGCTGCATGCCTTGTGCTTCCTTCACTGGACTAGGAACCATCAGAAGGTCAAGGCCCACACTGGTCATCTGTTTCCTAGCCTGGCCCCAATACCTATCCCACCACGGCCAAGTGCTGAGAGAGGGTCCAAGACCTAACTTAGAAATCCCTAAGCTAAATTCCTGTAGTTAAGAGCCCTAGGCTACAGAACCACTGCATGGTAGGTATTTTGACTCCAAGCAAAGCATGTTTTCTAAACAAAAGATACTAGTGATATCAGAACAAACTGGGCTGTCCAGTATGAATTCCTCAGATAGCCTGCCTATCTCTTTTACTGAATAAGTTGGAAGGGTATAAGGGCAGGATCCTGCAGGAGAACTGGTTTTACTTACTAATATGGTCAATGGCTCCAGCACAGAACTTGCCATAGAACTTCTTGGCACCCAGACCTCGTAGATCATGTATGGTGAATGGCCAGAGATGCAAGACATTGTTGCGGGAGAAGGCATCTCGTTTCTCAATAACGACCACCTTAGCTCCCAGTAAGGATAAGTCGATGGCTGTCCGAAGACCACAGGGGCCAGCTCCAATGATGAGACACTGAAAAATATAGCTGCTTTCAGAGCAAAGACAGCGCCTTTTGAGAAAGCTCACATTTCTGTAAAAGTTTCATGGTCTCATAATCATCATTCCCTAAAGCCCCCAAATAGGGCTATTCTCCCCACTACCAAGAAAATTTCAAACCCATCTGGGTCATAGTGGAGCACCTGCAATGACATGACAGAAAAGCTGGTGGCTGCTATGGAGAGAGAAGACTTTTAATTGTCAGTGCTGGACAGAAACCTAGCGCTTGTTCACCTCATAGATCTGCAACATATTTAAATGGTTTATCATTTCAACAAACGATTTAAAAATCACATTTCATCTTTCATCAATAGGAGAGGACCTTTTGGAAGGTTTCTAAGTCAAGGAGATTTCTGTCTGAGGAGATGTAGATTATTAAATACAGAGTCCAGGCAACCTTAGAATCTTGGAACGGGTCTTCCACTCAAATGATTCCTAAGAGACAAGTTTGAAAGGCCAAAGTTTTATGTGCTGAAAAGAGCTCTAAAATCACATCTTTAGACTGAAAGTCCAGGAAAATTATCTTGAAAATCCATTTTCCAGAGAAGTACTCAAAGTGAGATGGGGCACCTTAATTAGTTCGCATTGCATGTGCAGAAGAAAAAGAAGACATGCAATGTTTTTTGGCTTTGAATTCCTTTTATTCTTAATAAAACTCCAGCACTACTCATAAAAGTCACGCCTTTGAATTTTGCTGATAAGAATTACCTAACCAAACTCAACTCCACCCGGGATGGGTCTCTAGGTACCCACACCAGGGCAAATTAAAACTCATAAAAGAACATTAATAACATAGTCATGAAGTCATTCACAACTTTGTTTCCCTTTAGCTTTTTCTCCCAGAAGGTGTGTTCTTATATAAGGAGGAAAGCAGGAAATGTATTGTTCTCTTTCCACTTCTTCACACCTATCCTTGCACACAGGTGACTGAACGTCTCAGGTCTTTGCCCAGGCCTACCCGTTTCATGGAAACACTGTTTCTATAGATTGTGAAAAAGAAAACAAAATAAATAATTTGGTTATCAAAACGGATCTTTGGACTATGGATGAAAAGAGGTCTAAAGCCTGTGGCAAATCCCCAAGTTGGCAAATACTATCTATACCTTACCAGTTACCAATTCCAGAAGGAAGACAAGCACCATGAAGCCATGTTCATATAGAGTGCTAACAGGGCCTGGCTACTTCTTTGCTAAGTGGCCTGCATCCTCCTAACAGTGTGAGATTCCAAACAGCCTAAGCAAAACAAAAAAAGTCGCTATACCACTTGACTTCAGTTGTTCTTAAATAGTTGAAACCCTGAATGTCAATATGTATTCACATGAAATAAGAATAAGGTCTGACAGACGAGATAGTCAAATGAACATAAGTAATGGATCCACAAACCTTCAATAAGGTATAAATATGACTTCATATACTAGAGCATGGCTTGACTTGGTCTACTTTTCAATCAGTCTACAGCTAGTCAATCTTTTTTTCTTGGCCTACTTCTACTCAAAATCTTTTCTTTTTTGGTTAAGTCCATAGGTCAGTGACATTAGGGCCTGAGGGCAGCCAAAGCCTTACCTTGGTGTTGGTGCATGCTTTTCCCTTTTTGTAGTCTTTGTGGCTGCCTCGTTTGTCCAGCTTTGCCCAGAGGGCTTTGGCTTTCCAGTAGTTGAGCTTGGACTTGAGCTTGTGATAAAAAGAGCGGTAGTCCTTAGGCTTCAGTTCTAGGTGGTCGCACAGCTCTTGGAAGGCCTTGAGGGTTCCCTTGCAGGTGGTGGCCTGCACAAACCGGTCAAAGAGGGCATGCGCTCGATTCATTGTCTCATTCTTACTCTCCTCCATGCTTCCCCACTCTCAGTGCCTCCCTGACAAAGGGGGCAGTGGGATGGCTGTTGGTCCACCTGACACTGTCACATTAATCTAAAAAAAAAAAAAAAAAAAAAAAAAAAAAAAAAAAAAAAAAAAAAAAGAATGGTTAGCAAATCCAAATTTGCATCTATAAACATTTTCTAGGAGACATAACTCTTTTTCAAAGTGGAGTTCATAAGTGTTCTAGTCATTCATTTAACAAATGTATATTGCATACCTTCTATACTCTAGGCAGCGAAACACTGGGAGTGGAAAGATGAGTTTTTACTTTCAAGGATCTTGCAGTTATATTATAAACTGCAAGATCCTTGAAAGTAAAAACTCATCATAAACAGAATGTTAGTACCTAAGTCATAGGGACAGGGATGTCCTCGTTGAAGATGAACCTCTGAGAGATGACAGCTGACTCTCTCAGGATAAGTAAGAGTTAGCAGGCAGGGAAGAAGGGTAGGACATGGGAAAGGAAGTAAAACAGGAAGGCTTTTGAGTGACTCTTATAGGTGAAAGAGAATGTATGATCCCCAGGTTTCCAGTTTAGGCCACTAAACTGAGTAAACAGTGACACCAGACCAATGGACTGAAAACAGAAGAACTCATTTGTGAGGGTGGAGTTCCCTTTTGGACCCGTTACACTTGTGCCACCTTAGAGGAGGTGTTCACTACATAGGCAGGTATGATCTGAAGCTTGGTGGAGTGGCTAGGGAGCCTGCCCCAGATTTAAGCGTCATTAGCATATGGGTGGTGGCTGAACCTATGACAGCTGGTAAGATCACACAAGGAAGTCTATGGAAAGAGAAGGGCCATGGGCTTTGGATGAGATCTGGGACTCAGACACTTGTAAAGAGCTGGCAGAGAAAGACGAGCTCTCTGTGGAGAGAGGTCTGAAGAGAAACAAAGGGCAGTAGCGTAGTAGTCTCAAAAGCACAAAGCTCAGACGTGTCAAAGTCAGGAGGGATTTAAAGGACTAAAAACATCCTGCCACTGCACATGTGGGAAGACTTTATAGCCATTCCACTTTGCCATAGGCATATTTGACAATAATGATGTCTATACCTTCCACTTATCAAAAACATTCACACACTCACCATCCTGTATTTGCTGGTCAGCAGCTTTAAGATGGGAGATGGTATCTTATGTGCTCCTTATCCACTCACTCCCCTGGGTGTGTTTCATCACTTTTGTGCCACATTTTATTTATCATCACTACTTAAAACTATTATTGGGAAGTAGGAGGCAACGGTCCAAAGACCAAAACTAAGCCACAGGAAGAACAGAGAGGTAGGGCAGGGCAGTGCGACGAGCTTTCTCACTGCTCTCAGACCATACCATGCCTGCCAGGTACAGACTGCATGACCCTGAATAAGTCACTTTGCCTCACCAGGCCTAAATTTTTGCTTGTGTTGAGACGAGGAGGTTAGATTGGATGATCTCTAAAACTCTCCTCCAATTCTGAAGTTCTCTGAGTTTAGTGCTAAGAAAATCTTAATGGTTACAGTACTCATTCCTGGTACTCTAGTCGTGATGGTCCATCACAGGTGCATCGCCAATTCACCACTAGTGTGACAAACAGGACTGCATTGAACTTTGTTTTAAAGAGGATTTACTGTTGGAGATGGGAGCAGATGGAGGAAGGGTATAGAAGCTGTGTTCAGGTGTAGAAACAAGAAGTAACCCACTATTTACTGAACCAACCCAAGGGTAGTAGGAGCCTGCAAAACGTATGTGCTACTGAAATTATTTCTCAGAAGACAGACATCAAGTTCTAGACTGAGAACATGGGAAAAGACCCATGTTCTGTCCTGAATGTCTTACACTGGGTAGGCCACTGAGCAAAAGAACCCCCCTCTCCCACCCCTGTGAAGCAGAATAGCATTCTGCTTCTCTCCGCACCTCACCATGATATTATAAGGTGAAACCAAATCAACTGGAGATGGGTTTTAAGTTTCATGAAAGTAATAACTAAATACAAGAGACTGACATTTTCTGTTTTCTAGGTCAACAGACACACTCTCTTCGTGTACTATGGAGCCCAAGTCAAAGATGGTAAAATGTCTTTACCCAAAAGACACTGTCTCAGCTTTTCCTTCCAAATATATGACTTACTCAACAACCCCTCCTGGCTTCGGATATGAAAACTACACTACTAAGAAACAGCTTGTCCCAATATCTGCATGGCCAAGAGTCCAGGAAGAAATTATATTGAACTAATCTTCAATTTCCCCTAAATAAAAGTTTATTCTAGGTAGCAGTAGGTAGCAGGAGAAATATTTGAAAGTTCCTAAAAAGAGTCCATTCTTTTTCTTACAAGCTAAGGCTCATCTCTTAGAAATAGTAGATAGTCAAGAGATGGCTGTAGGGCAGAAAAAACCAGATGTGTTTATCCAGAGGCAGAAGAAAGGGTTAACAAGTCACAACCAAAAAGTAGAAACAAAAGTCACAAAGTGTTTGCTCCAGGAGGGGCCCTCTCTGTGGGGATTTCTGTAGCTTTTATTTACTGTTTTGGCAAGCAGACAGGTCTCTGTGATCCTGACCCCGTATACCCTACCTGTGTTTATCATCAACTTTATAACTTCACCAAGAGTCACAATACTTGGAAAGCTTTGAATATACCTGGTCTGATCTTTTGGCCTCATGTCAAGAAAGGAAATGATTTTTCTTTGTTTGTAAACAGCAGCCACCTTCCACTCCTCGCCAGGATTTGGGGCACCCAGTACTTTAATTTTCTTGCTAAAACCAACACATTAAAGATCCTGCGACATGTATTTCTCAAAGCCTTTCCCCTAGCATAACGCCTGCCTTTTGCTCCTACTTCCTTAAAAGAGTCTCGGGCTTTTGTTTCAGAGGATTCTTCTACTGTGTAGGCTAATACCTGCTTGGATGGTTGCAGCCCACTCTGTTTGAAGTAAACATTCACTTCCAAAGAGCTGCTAACCACCACAGAGAATTTTCAAATCATACCCCACTGCCGATGAACATCTTCATTAATAACTGGCCCCTACCCTTTCTGGTGATATAAAATACTTTCAAATTAACAAGTTTTGGTTATAGCTCTTAGACAGTTGCACAAGGCCTGCTTCCAAGTGGCAGGCAAGTATTAAGTGCCCAGTTGAACGGATTTTGACCTGCAGGTCACTAATGACAACAGATAAATAGAGGTAAGTTGGTTTCTGGAACAATGCAACAGGCACCCAAGGTAAGACTACACAAGATTAATTCCCCTGGGTTGCCTCACTTTTCTTACTTTGCAAGCCAAATGACCACAGCAGGAAGACACCCTGAGAGTGCTCCAGCATTATCCTGTAGCTCTGCCAGACTCTGGATGGTCTCATTTAGCAAGGTGACTTATCAGGCACTCTGATTCACTCAGAGCAGCTGGAGTGAATCGCAGAAGGGCCATTCCTGTTACGGCTCTCATTTCCCTCATTCTTGAAGGTCAAAAAACTCCGATCATGCCCCTTTTGGACCACCCCTGTGTACTTGACTTTCCAGTACCCTGGGAAAATAAAATCACAGGAACCTAGAGACCAGGAAACCTGGCCGGAAGGTGCCAGAATCCTGGGGACTGAAAAGCCAAGGTGTGGAAGGGAGGGATAAGGGAAGTGAGGAGACTGAGGGAAGAGGAGGTGATGCCAAGCTCCCAGGGCATCGGTGCAATTCCTGCCAGTTGACAACATCCTGCATGTTCTGTCCCGTGGCAGCTGATGGCTGACTCAGAAGCCCTGCACATCCCTTGGCTGTGGAGTAAAGTGCTGGAGAGACTGCCTATGGAGTACATGCAGGAGCAGAGTTTATGTTTCTATTTACAAGAGCAAAAAGTCTCTTGTCATTGACTCATGGTTGGTTATAAGAATACTCAACCTCTAGCTCTTAGTATAGGTAGGTGGTTATTCAAGGGATAGAGAAATAGCTTTAAAAACAGAAAAAGTAAGAGAAACAAAACAACAAAATAATAATTATTCTTCAAGAGTATGAAACCAGAGTTGAGTTTAGTTAATTTTCTCCCTAGCCACCGCACCATTAATATACTGGCAGACGTGCAAATCTCTAAATCTTATAAAGAAATCTATGAAATACTCCTTTCCTAGCTCATTCAGTCAGAGGTGTGACTTGTCTAAGTAGATCTTAGAAGTAGGCATATAGGAAGCATATTATGGAATGTCACTGGGAGGAAACCTAGATGAAAAATGCCTTCAGATCATAGAGATTCCTTTGTGTTTTGCCTCAGAAACAAGGCCTGCTCAGGCTACTGTCTTCTGTGGATAGGGAAACTGAGGCCCTTGCTTGGTTGGGGTGGAGGGGCCGGGGGGAGGGCAATGAGCTGACTGAATCAGACCATCTGGGAATGAGACTCCTTGTTGCCTCAAACTGCTTTCCCAGCTCCTGGACCAATAGTTTCTTTTCTCTGTCTCTCACAGACATTAGATAAGGTTCTCTGGGTACCCAGGAACAAGCTCAAACTACAGTAAGGAAAGCAGTTTTTCTTATGTATTTTTGGTTCTACAGGTATCCCATTCTCGGCTCTTTCTGATTTTCCATCCTATTTAGCATCAAAGTGACACTCAGCAGGATGCCAAGGAAATAGGAAACCAGCCCCACCCTCATCTCCATGCCCTTGCCCAGTCTGTGGAGCTGCTCTTCCGTCACGTGGCACGACTCCTCATCTGTCTCTGCCATTCCTCCAGGACTGGCAGCGTCCTTAGGGGTACGAGATCTTTGTAGCTACAGCCTGACCTGTAGTGGAAATGTCCTCTTCCTGTGGACTTGATGAGAACAGAATCCCCTCATGGGATTCTGTATGGGAGCTCAACAGCTCCATACTGGAAGGACCAGTTCTGGGGAGAAGCATTAGCCTTGGCCTGTGTGGCCGGGGAGGTGGAAGAGAATGGGATAGATGTTACAGAGATTTCTAATGTCTACCCAAAACGGTATCAGTGATATGGTCAGCCTGCGCAGGGAGTGATATTTTAAGAGCAACTAGCAATAATGTAGCACTTTTAAGAATTCTCACACCACCTTACTTTTGGGGCTGTGGAATGGCCCACTCTAGGGGT